GCTCTGCCCCAAATGCCCTGAGGAATAGAACCCCTGCCACAAAGAAGGGATAGGGAGACAAAATATGGGCATGAGGAAATGGCAATCAAGGAGAAGAGGAAAAATACCATAAAATCTATTCTTCCTCTTTCTCCACTTTGCCTGGTGACCAAAAGGTAAAGTTAGAGGTGAAAGGTCAATCAAAATTTCTCCCACTGGGCATGGTGGCTCAAGTCTGTAATCCTAGCTACTTGGGAGGCAAAGATCAGACAGACCACAGTTTGAGGCCACCCTAGGCAAAACATTCGAGAGACTTGCATCTCAACGAATGGCTGGGCTTAATGGCATGTGTCTGTCATCCCCAGCTACATTGGGAAGCACAAATAGGATCATGGGCTGGGCTGGCCCTGACATAAAATGAGACCCTATTCCAAAAATAACCAAAGAAAAAGGGGCTGGCAGCATGGCACAAGTGTTAGAGCACCTGCCTAGCAAGTACAAGGCCCTGAGTTCAAACTCCAATAAAGGAAAAAAAATTCCTCCCACCTCTGCCTACCTTGGTGGGACATGATTTGGTAACCCATATCGTTACAGTGTTTTGCCATTCTTCCCAGTAGCCATTGTCTTTCCTTCCTTCTTAGCTGCTGCCCCCCATCTCACTCCAGAATTCTCCACCCCTGACTCTGAGGATGCAGCAAGTGACTAGATCCAGCCAATCACAACACAGCTTTCTCTGACCACAGAGATTGGTTCAGGGATGGCATGTGTGCTAAGATAGTCCAATCAGAATGCCTCTCAGAGCATCTATGAGAGCTACCAGGCAAAACCCTAGCTCTCTCTTGTTGAAGAAATGAGGACATGAGAAGCCAGAGCTGCTGAAGGCACTGAAGCTACCATATCATCTAGAGTAGAGAACGTTGGGCCATCCCCGGAAGCCCCCCCAAAACAAAGTCAAGACAACGGAAGACAAAATGGAGAGGAAAACAAATCCTAATGCTCTCATTTGAGTCCTGAATCCAACCATACCTGACTTTTCATTTGCATAATCCAGTAAATTCTTTATTGTGCCTAAATCAATATTCAACATGCACTAGCATATGCTGAAGTTCACAGTTACTCTGAAAGGCAGTTTGACAGCTGGTGGGGGGGTGGCAGAAACCCCTATCAAAAATCAGAAAACAATGTGTCCTGGACCCTTGCTCCTCAGTGCGTGCTCTGAGGACCAGGATCATCACCATCTCCTGGGAACTTGTTAGAAAGGTAGAAACATAGCCCTGTCCCAGACCTGCTGAGTCAGAAGATGCATTTTGACAAGAGCCCCAGGTGATGTGTGTGCGCACTGAAGTTTGAGGCACTCTGTTGAATATTCTCTCTGTAGCTTCCCAAGTGGGTGACTGCAAGCAAATTACCAGATTTCTCTGTGTTTTCTGGTGAACAATGGGAGATCATAAAAACTCAGTACAACGATGCAGATATAGTACAAAACCAAAGTAGTTCTAGGTTTTAATATGGCTCTTCCAATAACTATGATCTTGGGCAAATTACTGAACTTCTATTAGCCTCGGTCCTCATCTGTAAAATTGAGATAATAACACCTGTTGGACTGGACTGACGTCAAAATTAAAGTAAATAATGAATGTAAAGTGCTTGGTACATCACTTGCTCCAGAGGACCAGAACTCAATTAAAGGTACATATTATTGTTGTACTCTTATAATTACTGTTATTATCCGCCCTACACACCTCACGGGTAGGGTGATTGTGAGACCCAAAAAACATTGTGTGGAAAAAAAAATTGCTTTAAATCAAAGTACTCAAGCTATCGTCCTTAACTGATCTAGATACTGAAGATTCATAGGTTAAGCAAATTGTCTGAGCTCATCAAGCAGAAAGGGGTATGGTCTAGTCTGGCACTCCCACTTTCCATCTGGCACAGGTCACATGGTTGCGAATGGTTCTTTATTTACATGTCTCTCCTCCCACCAGACTGGACTTCCTCCCTCTATGTTCATGGCCCAGTTCCCACCCAGTGGGCACTCAATGAACTCTAGTGGATGCAAGCAACGACCATTTGACCTCTTTAACCGAAGCTATCTCCCTTAGTAAGGTATTACTGTGACTTGATATGTTAAGAACCTGATGACTGCTGTTAATCCTAATTAGAATCTTAGGACAACATCTCAGTTGGAGACCAAAGCTCCACTGGGAACTCAGTGCAGAAATGCAATTTCAGCCCCCAGGGGAGAATCCAGGAGAACAGGAACTGGCTGGGTATAGAACAGGGTGGGATCTTTTATTTGTCTGATGCTTTCATTAGGAAAAAAAAAAAGCCAGGTTCTGCCTGAAGCAGAACTCTTGGCAAAGGAATTACAGAGGTAATAGTGCAAGGAAAGCAGAATGAAGACTTGGGCAACTGGTTGACATATTACCGATCTACATATGTAGACTTGTCGGAATGCTAGTCTCAGCTAGAAACAACCACTGAACCTTTGTGTTCTGATTTCAACCTTGAAGATTAAGGGCAGGTTAAGGGCTGTAAGCCATGAACAAAAAGAACCCTAAGTAAACATGGAATGAGCTGAAATGAACTGGAAACATTCTTATTAAATGAAACAGTAAAACACATAAAATAAGAGGGTGGATTTAAACACAAATATGGCATTAATGACAATAAGCCCAAGTGGCCCACATGCTCCAGTTAAGAAAACTGCAAGTCAACAAAACAGAAATGCAAAAGAAAAGTATGAACAGATCACTTGAAAATATATTTTCCACCAAGAAGATCCTGACAGAATAGCCAACAAACATATGAAAAAGTGCTCAACGTCCGGTCAGCAGTACCTCAAGCCTGAGGCAGAGATCAGGAAGACCAAGGTTCGACAAGGCCAGCCTAGGCTAAAGATCCACAAGACCCCATCTCAACCAATGGTTCGGTGTGGTGGCATGTACCTGTCATTGCAGTTATACGAGAGAAACACAAGTAGGAGGATGGTGGTGCAGGCTAGCCCGAGCATCAAGATCTATTTAAAAAATAGCTAGTGAAAAAGGGCTATGGGCAGGGTTCAAGTGGTAGAGCACCTGCCTAGCAAGTATGAGGTCCTGACTTCAAACCAGTACTGCCAAAACAAAAATAAAAACTGTTCAACTTCAGTAATCATCAGAAAAATAAAACCATGATAAGCCATTATACTCTCCCCCAAATTAAAAAGTCAGGCAAGATAAATTAGCAAGAATGTGGACTATTGCAAATCCTCATACACTACTAGAATGAGTATAAATTTGTGACAATTAATTTTGGAAAAAGCTTGCTACTGTCCAGTAAAGCTGAGTGTAAGCATACCTTATGACCCATCAATTCCAGCCCTAGTTATTTATGTATCTTATAGTTATATGCCCATGTGCATTTATACCAGGATATCATGTTTGTCAAGGATATTAACATTGACCCTAAAACTAGAAACAACCCAATGTCCATCAACTGTAGAGTGGATAAATGAACTATATAGGCATACAACAGAAATTTATATAAGAATGAAAATAGACACCCACGAACATGGATGGCATAATGTTGAGTGAAGAAGTAAGATACAAAAGAATGAAGACAAAATGATTTCATTCATATAAAGTTCAGAAACAGGCAAAACTAAACTCTACTGTTTAGGACAGCATGAGTAGATGGTAGAACTAGAGAAGAAGCATGGAAATGCTCATCCTCAAAATCAAGAAAGTAAAGAGGGAAGGGCTGTACACGAGGAAGGACTCCCAAGGGCTTTTGAGTACTGTCCATACTCTTTTCTTGACTTTGGTGGTGGAATGTATGAGAGCTTACTCAATATTACATTTTAAATTGTATAGTAATACATAATGTGCCACCTCTTCTGCATATGCATTGTATTTTTTAACTAAAAAGAAAAGAAAGACTGTAGTACAAGCTAAAACAAAAACACAGCCCTGTTTGGAATGACCTGAATTCATCCCTGGATTTTTGAGCATTGCCAAACCAGTCATTTGCTACTTCAATGAGCTTTTGTGGGGCTGAAGACATAAATAAGGAAGAGGCAGACAAGAACAAGAGACCAGGGTGGGTTATAGAGGAAGAAAAAGTTACTGAAGACCTGAATGGGTAGAGAAGAAGTTGTATTCAGGGTTTTAGGCCTGGAACTCTCCTCACCAAGAAACAAACACCTTTCCCTTCTTACTTCCTCCTTCAAGACTTCCTCTGTGAACATCTCTCCCTATAAAGTCTTCTTTGGCTCCAGGCTGTCTCAAGCACCCCTTTGCATTTTGCACTTATCTCAATGAGCTCTTTTCCTGCCGTGTTGTAATGATTTGCCTTTCCTTTTTTTTTTTCATTTTTCTTTTATTATTCATATGTGCATACAAGGCTTGGTTCATTTCTCCCCCCTGCCCCCACCCCTCCCTTACCACCCACTCCACCCCCTCCCGCTCCCCCCTCAATACCCAGCAGAAACTATTTTGCCCTTATCTCTAATTTTGTTGTAGAGAGAGTATAAGCAATAATAGGAAGGAACAAGGGGTTTTGCTGGTTGAGATAAAGATAGCTATACAGGGCATTGACTCACATTGATTTCCTGTGCGTGGGTGTTACCTTCTAGGTTAATTCTTTTTGATCTAACCTTTTCTCTAGTACCTGGTCCCCTTTTCCTATTGGCCTCAGTTGCTTTAAGGTATCTGCTTTAGTTTCTCTGCATTAAGGGCAACAAATGCTAGCTAATTTTTTAGGTGTCTTACCTATCCTCACCCCTCCCTTGTGTGCTCTCGCTTTTATCATGTGCTCATAGTCCAATCCCATTGTTGTGTTTGCCCTTGATCTAATGTCCACATATGAGGGAGAACATACGATTTTTCTTGCCTTTCCAACTAATATCCTCAAAGGCACTCAGGAATTTTTGAATATTTTCCTATCTTTTCCTTCCCAGCAGCACTTAGATCAGTGCCTGACAAGGAGGAGAATTCAGCTGACACTTGTTCAATGACAGAATGAATAAAAGAATGCTTTACCTTCAGCTGCAATTCCTTGTATCTCTTGGACATCCGAATGAGCAACTTCTCACCATTGATCACAGCAGATTTTTCTTGATAGTACTGGACCATGGCCTGGGCAGCTTCTGTATAAGCCATCTCTAAAAAGGCCTAGAATAGACAGGAAGACACACATTATATGTGACTTTAATGGTACAAATATGATTCCATGTAGATAAAGCTCAAGAATAGGTAAAACTAACCAATGGTAACAGAAGTTAGAGTTGAGCTTCCTTCTAGAGTGGGGGGGGGGTGAGAACTGTCTGGGAAGGGGCAAAAGAAAACCTTCTGATGTTCTGGAAATGTCCTATATCTTGACCTGAATGTTAATTATATGGGCGTATATTTGTAAAAAAAATTAATGGAGTTGTACACTGAAGACTAGTGTACTTTATACACTTGAGAGTATCTGTTTTATAACTCAATAAAAAGAAAAAATTAGTACAAGGAAGAGCTCTCTTTGATCTTGTCTGTTCAAAGAAACCTTTTTATTAACTTCACTAAAAGAGCTCATTATAGGATGGCCCTTCTGATCTCCATGGTTACCAAACATTATTCTTAATGATGTATGTCCACCCTGGGCTACATCATAGCATGGAAGCCCCTCTAGGATGGGAGGGTCCATTAAATCACAGTTCCCAGGGGAGGGACTGGGGTACATGTGGTGGGGGCTGCTATTTGGTGGTGGTGACAGCAGTCAACACATGCATAAGCCAGGGTTATTTGAGCTCTCACTTGTCTTATAAAGAAAGAAATACATTCAAAAACTCAGGAACTCATAAGCACCCCATTTTGAAGGAAGGCCAGGCTGTTGTGAATTAGAGAAAGGAAAACCCCCTACAATATTTCTTTTCTCTTTATTTAACTGTTCTGACAAAACACTTACATAGAAATGGGCTTTTCCACCCAATCTGTGTCTATGGAGTTTCTGAAAGGCCATTCTGATGGACCTGTCAGTTTACCAAGTAGCTATGGAGGAGTTCCTGGCTGTTATTGTTTCTGAGATTTGTTTGGTTTGTACTATACTGGTATGTACTAATTCTGGTCCCTCTATGTTGAGAGGGAGTAATCTATGACAAGGGGCCCTAGTTAGAAGCTCCTAATTCTCCCATTTTCTTGAACTTAATGGGTGAAGCAAGCTCATTGCTCCTTCTTCCCTCCCATCTATTGGTTAATTTAAGATTACGCATTGTCATAGTCTTGTGATGTGTGTGAAACTAAGAAGCCAAAATTCTTTAAGGTCTTATTTTAAATTATGCTACCCACTTTTTAAGCTCCTCTTCCTTGATATAACGTTCAACACGTCTGGTTGTCACTTCCAAATGGAGAAAATACTAATCTAGGCAATCTCACTGCATTAATGTTGTAAGCTGACCTTTGTACCTTTACCCAAAATTAGAATTCCTGAGAAGTAAAACACAGATACAGTGAGTGGCCTGTCCCTAGGTTGGGGAAGGGAGACCACTAAGTTGTGGCTTTATGTCGCCATAGTTCATGCCTTAATTAAGAAAAGAATTTCTCCTCTGCCAGTTCCTCAGATCATAAAGCAAAAATATTTATTAAAATAAAGACAAAATATTCTAGCTTGTGGCCATTTGATGTATAAACTCCACCTTTGACTTTGAAATAGACAAACATACTGAGTTCCTAAGGGCTCAGCCAGTTCCCACAGGATAAGAATTCTTAAGTCCTTAGCCTCACTAGGCCTCCTTCTCTTGCTATGAGACCCAAGGGTCTCACTCATGGACACAGTTCTTGGCTGGCTCCAAACCCAGGCTATAAGAAAAGACAAGCTTAGAAGATGAGACTGTAGCATCAGCTCAGTAGGTTTATAATACAGTGAGGAGACTCTAGACTACAGATTTCTCTTTTGGGACCAATTAGCTTCTCTATGTCAATAAGCACCTCATACCCTTTCCTCTAGGCAATTCACAAAGGCTTATACCCATCACAAGAAGGGCAGAGTAAAACAAGGGAAAACAAAAAAACAGCCCCAACAGAATCCTCTAGCTGGCTATGCATCACTTTTTTATAAGAATAGTTTCTTTAAAAAAAAAAAGTATATAGTTTCCTTTCATGGCTGTGTGGTCTGTCCTGTACCTACTAGACTAATCAGACCTACCTGATTAGTCGACTTCATGAGGATGTAATTAGTGACCTTTCCAAAGGGCATCCCCAGGTTAATGACATCATTCTCAGTGCAGCTTCCTTCAGGGAGATTGCAGATGTGCACAACCCGGCCTGCACCTTTCCGCTGTGCAAACTGTGGACAAAGAGCAGGGGTCTTTGTTTGTTTGCTTGTTTGTTTGGGTGGTACTGGGGTTTGAACTCAAGGTCTTGTGCTTGCTAGTCAGGCACTCTACCACTTGAGCCCACATCCCCCACCCAGTCTTTAAAAGCCATTTCCCTCTGTCCCTGTATTCTAAACATTTTTTAATGGCTGTTTTCCCCCAAATAATGGTTGCAAAATGATCATTTAAAAAATCGATCCAGGAAAGGAATCCATTGACAGACACTCATTAAACATCATTTTTATGTCATCTTTTTACAAGAATGATTCACGTTGCTAATGAGCGATAACTTCCAGGACTAGAGAGGGTACAAGGAAATGGGCAGGTACATACACTGCTACTGGGGAGTTATGTCTACAATCTTTTGAGAGTATACTTTCTTTTTTATTTTTTGGCAGCACTGGGGTTTGAACTTCATGCTTGCTAGGTAGGCATTCTTACGACTTGAGCCACTCTGCCATCCCTATACTTTCTTGATATTGACTAAAATTTAAAATGTACACCACCCATGATCCCATCACTTTTCTGGAAATCTATCTTACAGGAAAAAAAATAACATCAATACATAAATACTAGTATACAAGGACATTTCCTGTAGTACTTTATAGGGTGGCAAAGCATTTTGGAAATAGTACCCTATTGCCATCCACACTGGGCAAGTCTCAAAGTCACCTCTAATGAACAGGCCTAATTTAAGCTCCTGGAGGGAGGAGTGTGTCAAACCTTGACCAAGGTCTGGTCAAACCTTGGTCAGCCTGGAATCTCCAGGAGGTTCAAGAATTAGTAACCATATACCAACTCAATGCGGAAGAGAAGGATCTAATGACATAGCCTACATCTGCACAGTCACCATTTTCTACCATAAAGTGAACTTTAACATCTAACTATATTTCATGTAGGTGTGACTCTGCTAAAGCTGGTAATGTCTGAGGTCTTGCCCCTAACAAGTACTTAGCTAGTACTTAGTACCTAGCTAGTACTTAGGTAACTCTACCATGAAAAGTCCTCATTGTCTCATCTGGGCTAAGGACAATGAGTGTCCATAAGAATTTCCTTTTTTGGTTCAGCCCTGAATTGGAGAAACCCAGGTGCCCCTTTCATACCCCAGCCCCCTAGCGTCCTGATGTCAAGCACTTTCCCAAAGGAGAACACAAATCCAGGGTGTAGACCAGGCAGAACATCTTCAATATCCTGGAATGCAAATGGATCCTCCAGATGCCTGGAGACTTTGACTCTTAGCCTGGGTAGGAAAGACCAAGCCCTTCTGCAGGGGTGTGAAGAGGGCTGGTAGGTAGATCTTGACCTCCCATTACGGTTAACTTCCAAGCACAGCAAATTATCTGGTGCTCTGAGTTTACCACCAGGAGGGCGGAGGCCGGGCACTCTGTCTGGTCTCCTCTTAGCATGGCATGTTTCTGTCCCATGTGACATTGCTCTGGTTCACCTGGGTAACTAGCTTATGCTTGCACAACAGAGCAGACACTCAGGGTGGTTCTATTCTGATCCCTCTCCTGTCCTGTCCAGTTGCCTAGTGACCAGGCACAGGGGCCAGTGCCTCTCTCATTGTCTCCTCCAACCTGAAAGGAGGACTCGAGAGGTCTTTATCTGAGCACAGCAGAATAAACAGGAATACGCCTCCCAGAGAATAAACAAGCTCACAGCGGCCAGTCACCAAAGAAGGAGACGTGTTTGTGCTGCAGACTTCGGTATCAAAGACACTAAAATGAATGGGTTTCAGTCAAGGCTTTCACTCAAATGTTAAAGATAGGTCCCCTGAGCGTTACCCCACCCCCAAGATTCTGGCAGAAACAGAACTAGACTTCTATTGATTCCTTTATTGTCATTTATTAAGTCAACCATGAGATTTTTGGTATTCTTCCAGTTCATTATCTTAATTTAGAGCTTTTCAACTGGCGTACTGCAATCAGGTTTTAGCTGTGCCAAGCTATTGATTCCCTCGGGCTGGAGGCCAGAAACCTCCAGTACCCATGAGCAGCCTCTTCAGTTCATCATTTTCTAAGTGAACCGTGAAATGAAAATCTTGAGAATCATTGTGTCAATGGTTTGCTTTGTGTTGTGCCTGGTTTCAGGGCACGATCCTACCCAGTTAGAAAGAGAAATTGTTTTTTAATGGGTTAAATTCTTTTGCCAATATTTCATTTAGGAGATTTCATTGATTTAAAATATCCTTTTGTTGCTAAATTCATTTTAGGTTCAAAACCATGTTTGATTCCTAGAAGACATAGAGTAATAGGTAGTATCACTCTATTCTTGAAACAACTTATATAAATGTAGCAATTACTTACACTATGCCCTATTCCTATAGCCCTATGGGAGATTGAATGAGGAGGGAGGGAGGGAGAAAAGGAGAGAAGGGACAGGGAGGTCTGTGGGTGGCACATGTAGAGTGAAGTTTGTTTCCTGGGGCCAGGACAACCCTGAGTGCTTTTAAGCAAGCAGCAGGATGCTCTATTTCCAGCCTGATTCTCTAATAAGCCCTAAAGTATCTTTGAAGTTAATAATACAGTAGTCCCTCCTTATCTGCAAGGAATATGTTCCAAAATCTGAAGCCACAGATAGTATACTATGTTTTTCTCTACATAAACACCTGTGACAAAGTTTAATTTATAAATTAGGTATAATAAGAGATTAGCAATAACTAATTGTAAAATAGAACAATTATCACAATATACTATAAGTTACTTAAAACTTTATGAATTGTTATTTCTAGAATTTTCCATGTAATATTTTCAGACTTGGTTTGGGTAACTGAAAATGCACAAAGCTAAACCAAGGATAAGGGAGACTACTGTATTGGGCGGGGCAGGCTAAGCAATACTTTTGACATTCAAAAAGTTGAGATGATAGCATATGTCACTCTATTGATATGGTGTCAAATTAAACTAAATTTAGCCTGAGGGTCTTCTATTATTGAGTCCTTAATTAACACAGTGCAACACAAATAGCTGACTCTTAGCCAACCACAGCAGCTGAAATTGACCAGTCAACTGATTAGACCTGGTTCGAGCAAGACATACACGGGGCTAAAACCAATCCAACTGTCTCTGTGCCTCAGTTTCCTTCCCTGTCCATGAATGCTGCTTGACCACTGTGTTCTGGTTCTAAGGGATACCCAATTCATGAATCATTCTTTGTTCAATTAAACCCTATTAAATTTAATTCACCTTAAATTTTTCTTTGAACATTGCTTAGATCTTTGGCTGATCAGAAAACATGTTTGGTGTGTCTGCTGTCTGATTAGTAAAAAATGGGTAAGTAGTTAATTATACATTAATATAAGTATTTTGGCAGATAAAATCTTCCCAAACTTGGAAGACTGAACAGTGGGTGCTTGGGGTAGGAGTAAATCATAGAAGGGAATTTGGGCTATAAAAAGCTTGTGGCTTTCTGATTTAGTAGGAACAGCCTGAGCCTAGAGGACAGAGGACCTGAGTTCAAGCCCAACCCTGCCACTGATTAGATGTGCATAACTAGTTTCCCTTTGTGGGCTGTCTGGAATGAGGGAGGTGGCCAATATGTCTGAAGATCTTTCCAGATATAAAATATCTGTACTTATGTGATTCTAAGTTCTAAAATTCCACTTCTCCCAGAAGTCTTGCCAGGCTAAACCCTAAGATACAGAATAATGATAACTTTCTCCAACTGTGCTCAGCTCAGCATAAACAGGAAACCCATGTGTTCACCCCCTGTCCCAGTGAGTGTGTGGTCAGCCTTCCTCTCTATGATCAGCTGTTCAGCGTGCATCTTCACAAGCCCGTTCACCTTTCAGAGTTTTGGTGGTGATCTCATCTTTACAGTGCTGTATAGATAAATGCCACGTGCAAGCACTTTGTTTACGAGCTATGCTGTTCCCTAAATGACCCTGCTGCCATGGTGCTAGAAAGAGTTAAGATGAAAGATACGCTGAAGCCAGGCACAATGACTCAATCCTAGCTTCTCAGGAGGTGGAAATCAGGAAAATCACAATTCAAGGCCAGCTGGGCAATGAAGTTTGCAAGACCCCATCTCAACCAGTGGCTAGATGCTATGGTGCATGCCTGTCATCCCAGCTATGCAAGGAAACACAAATAGGAGGAATGTGGTCCACACTGGCACAGTCATAAAGTAAGAACCTATCTCAAAAATAAAAAATGCAAAAATGGCTGGGAGAGTGGCTCAAACAGTTGTGTGTCTGTCTTGCAAGTGCAAGGTCCCGAGTTCAAACGCCAGTACCACCACCAAAAAAAAAAAAGCATTGAGATGAACTAAAGACACACAAGCCTGGTACCTCTCTGAGGACAGATCCATATCAGGGGCCAGGGTCAGGGCAGAGGAAAAACCAGACAGACCTGATTATTCCCCAGTGGCTAACTACACACTGAATTTCATTAAGCCTGAGTTGGCTTGTCTGTAAAACCAGGAGAATAAAAACTGATTCCCCAGGATAATTGAGAAGACAAAATGCCACAAGGTAAGTTAAGTGCTTTGGTGCAATGCCTGGCATCCAGCAGGCTTCTATAAATAAATATCTATATCCTTCTTTCTTCCCACAATTTAAGGATGTGCTATGATGACCCTGAATTGGGAAAAATAATGCTGTGACTTTGTAAGAGAAAGTCCATGTTCCTAAGAAATTCATGTTGAAATTACAAATGAAGTGGTACAATACCTTCAATCTGTTCTAAAATAAAGATTTGTGGGAAAAAAATGCACAACTGACTAGGTAGACAGATAGACAGATGATAGTAGGAGATATAGCAAGAGTGATAAAGCAAATGAGACAGAATGTTAAGAAATATTGAATCTGGGCAAGAGATGTATAGTGGCTCTTTATTCTTTTTGTGTAACTTTTCTGTGAGTATGAAAAACGTTAAAAGTCATCAAAAATCAATTTTAAAAGATGTGCTCTGGAGTCAAAGAGTAGATGACTTTAAAGAGAATGGTAAAATCTCACCAACCTGAATTTTCCATG